ATATAAATAAAAATATTTATCTATTATAGTAAAATTTTGAAGTATTGTATTATTTTAAAAAATATACTTGTATATATAATAAAGTTTACTTAGATGTGTTAAAATTTACTTAGGTAATACAAAAATGCAGAATTTTGATTGGTTAATTTATATAAACCTATAAGCTAATTTGATTATATAATTTTATATCCTAGTCTTTAAAATTTCATATCTCAATAAGTTTTTAATCAATTTTAATAATTTTACTATTATTAGAATCAGAAAAGCCTACTTTATAACTTTTACTTAATTATTAAAATTAGTTTATTTAATATAATTTTTTATAAAATTAAATATAAAAAAAATTATCATTAGGTTTATATATAATTTTATAGTACTGCCCTCTATCCTTAATTTCATCATTATTAGAATTACTGCATAATTCAAGAAAATTAATTTGTTTGATATTAAAAGAATTAGCATGGTTAAAAATCTGTTGATTGGCCAATTTTTTAAAATACTATATTATACTATTTATGCATGCATCATATGATTTATTACGCCAAACTACAGAACTTACAGAACTATAAAAAAAAAACTTTTGGAAGCTTAGTTGACTTGAAATTTTTTTGTATTTGTGCTTACTAAGGTTCTAGCTTTCAAGATCTAAAAATAAAATTTCAAGATCCAAAAATAGGCAAAAGTTCTATCAGCAACAATGCCAAAAGATAGACCTCATAAAAATATGGGTCCCTGTGCAGTATGTGGCAATAATGACCTTCAAGAAAGGTTTCACATACTGACACCAGTTCTTTTGACTAAAGTTAAGTGAAGCCCAGCATTTCCCAATTTAAATGTAGAACTTGGCTTATACAACCAATTGTGTCATCAACATTACGTCGAATTAATTGCATTTGATAGAAACTTGAAACCAAATAGATGATGAAAATACAATTCAAATAGAAACTTGAAACCAAATAAATAACGAAAATCCAGTTCAGATTTAATTTATGATAAGAATTTGGAAGAAGAAAGTTCTAATGAGCAATACAATATTGGAAATTGTTACAAAAATGGCATAGGCATTCCTGAAAATGAGAGAAATGCATTTGAATAGTACTTGAAATCTGCTGAAGGTAGAAATTCTGACGGTCAATTAAAAGTTGGAAATTGTTATCAAAACAGTATAGGCATAGCCAGAGATGTAAAGAAGGCATTCAAATGGTATCTAAAATCTGCTGATGGTGGAAATCATGATGGACAATTAAGAGTTGAAGATTGTTACTTGAATGATGTAGGCATATGTAAAGATGAAAAGAAGGCATTCGAACAATACTTAAAATCTGCAAGTAACAGAAAATCAAAGAGACAATTAATTATTGGAAATTGCTATCAAAATGGTATAGAAGTTCCTAGTGATGAAAAGAAAGCTTTCAAATAGTATTTAAGATCTGCTGAAAGTAAAAATCCTAGTGGACAATTGAATGTTAGATTTTGTTATAACAAAGGCATAGGAACTTCTAAAGACAAAGTGAAGGTATTTGAATGGTATCTAAAATCTGCAGAAGGCAGTAATTTAGAATGATTTAATATCAATGTGGATATAAATATTCTTGGTGATGAAATTTATTTATTACAAGAAAATTATAAATATTTAATTAAAAAGATTTTGAACATGAAACAACCTGAAAGAGAGATATGTGAACTAAGTGTAAACAGCTATATTCGGAATAAAAATACAGGTATTATACAATTTTATTTAATTAATATATAAAAATAAGAATTTTTTTTTTAATATTTATTACTAATTATTGTAGAAATTAAACAGTTTTCGGAGTACTTTAGTGATCAGGTAGCACAGATGACAAAAGTTCTTTATAAAGATCAATGAGAAGGAAATTTATCGCAATTAAATGCTGAAGATTTTATTAATTTAATTGAACGTAAAGATTCCAAGCTTCAAGGATTTTTTAATATTTTATATAATGCAATGAATCCTAAAGAAAAATCGATAAAAACACAAAATTTTTTAAAATAAAAGATTATGATATTTTGCTACCAAATGGTTGGATTATGAAACAAGCAAGTGAGCAGTGCCAAAATGCATTGGAACTTTTTCTTGCAAAGTCTGGAGCCTCAGCTCATTGTGTTAATACAATGGCTAATATGGGATTATGTATTACTTACCAAACAGCTTTTAATAGAATTAATAGAATAAGCAATGAACATCAAATTAGTGTGAAAAAATATATTCAAGCTCATATAAGTAAAATATTGATTAATACTGTAGTATAAATTATTAAGCTATATACTAATATTAATATAATTTTAGTATCACAAACTTTTTATTGCATGTGTAGATGATTATCATAATCTTTATAGAACTTGTATTTCATCAACAAATTTTGCATGACAGATTGTTCACTGTACCATCATATTATTCAATACTATTAAATGCTCACCTATTTCTTATAATTCTGTATATGGTTTTCCTATTCACAATCATCAAGGTGTTGATGCATCTTTATTAAAAGAAATTTGCCGAAAATGATATATGTTTATTTTGGCTAATAGTTATAATTCTGAAAAATCAACTTGGAGTTGGGTATCAAACGATATAGGCTTAATTGAAAATTTAACAATTCATTCTTATAATGCAGATATTATTGAGAAGTATCATTAAAAATTTAATCAAACTAAATTAATAGATTGTATCAAATTAGATTTGAAGAATACTAAAAATTATATTGAGGCAGTAAAAACATTTTTAAGGTTAATATATTATATAATATTTTTTTTAAATTAAAATAATATCTAATTTATTAAATTTAAAAGTTTATCAGAAGTAATCAAGTATTTAAAGAATTATGTTATCCTACTTCCAGCAGACTTTCCTGGTTAATTATTTATAAAAGGAGCTATTACAAAAAAGTTAGAAACTGAAGAATTGTCGATTTCAAAAAAAATTGTACATTTAGTACCATTCTTGGGTCCACTTTATGTTTCTCTTAATATACGAGAAACTATTATAATTGTATTTCATTCTTTTTTTGATTATTTTTATAAAGCAATATTTAAAAAAAAACAAAAACTTGCTATTAAGCCTAGACCGTGGCAAATTAATTTGTTATTGTATTTAGTACATGAAGGTTGGCTTTTAGTTAAAAAATATATTACCAAGTCATTTGAAACATCTAAGAATATTGCATATATTACGTTTTTAGATTTATTAGATAATTTAATTCCTGCTGCTTTGGATATATATATGCATTTATTTCATGAAAATCATTTTGAAGAATATATTAATATAATATTTCAGTTGTGGACTATAATGCGAAGATTTCAAAGACACAATTACGATAAAATTATGTTAGCCTTTCTTTCAGATATTCAATATTGGAAAATAACTGAACATCCAATAATTAATATTTTAAAAACTCATTTGAATGCGT